CTCTCCCTCTCCTCCTCTCCGCTTTCGTCCCCTCGCCCCCCCCCTCTCCCTGCCATGCGCTTCTTACCGACCGCTCTCTTTCCTCTTTCCCCACCCTCCGCATTCCTCCCTCCTCTCCTCCATCATACCTTCTCCCTCTCACCACCAAATCATTATTCAGCGCTGGCAGCGACACTTTACACCATACTCCCATTCTCGGACAGTGACGGAGTGACGCCTCGACATTGGTCACTCGAAGCTCCCCTGCCCTGGGTAACTTTCTGCACCGGCTGAGAGAGAGAGAGAGAGGGGGGGGGAGGAATAGAGAGAGAGAGGACGGAGGGAGAGAGGGAGAGAGGAGAGAGAGAGAGAGAGAGGGGGGTGAGGGGAGGGAGACTGGAGAGGGAGGGAGAGGGGTAGGAAGAGAGAGAGAAAGAAGAGGAAGAAGAGAAGAGAGAGGAGGAGAGGGAGAAAGAGAGAGAGAGATAGGGAGAGAGGGAGGAAGAGAGAGAGAGAGGGGGGGGGAGAAGAGAGAGAGAGAGGGAGAGAGGGGGGGGGAGGAAGAGAGAGAGAGAGAAGGAGAGGAAGAGGGGGGGGAGAGAGAGAGGGGAGGGAGGAGGAGAGAGGGGGGAGGGGAGAAAGAGGGGAGAGAGAGAGAGAGGGAGGGAGAGAGAAAGAGAGAGAGAGAGGGAGGGAGGGAGAGAGGGAGAGAAGAAGAGGGAGAAAAGAACGGAAAGAGGAATAGGGAGACAGAGAGAAAAAAGAGGGAGGGGAGAGGAGAGAGGAGGAGAGAGATCTTTCTTTTTTCTTTCTTTCTTTTTACTTAACAGTACGGGGAAAATATCTCGGGAATACATCGATCCACAGACTATTATCCATTAAGGTCAAAAAATTGCTTCCGTTTTATTAAGAATTTCGAACATATGAACACACACCAAATAATCGTAATAATGACACGACTTTATAAAGAAATTTAACGTAGCAATAACAGCAACATCAGCAAAGACTTGCCAAAAAATCAACAGACACATCTTAAAACATCAATTTAAACATTCAAACTCTCACATACCCATATTACATCAACCATGGGTGAATATTTCTCCTATTGCTCCACACAAAACCTATTTCACTTGGTTTAGGAATGCTCTTAATGTGTAGTATTAGCCTTTGATTGTGTATGAACGTTTTGTTGACGAGACAGCGTGGCTAAACGAGACGGAAAAGGAAAAGCGACGAAAGGGGAAAAGGGCAAAGGATGAATAAAGTTTTCCGCCTGGCAGGGTGGAGAGAGAGAGAGAGAGAGAGGGGGGGGGGGAGAGAGAGAGAGAGAGAGAGAGAGAGAGAGAGAGAGAGAGAGAGAGAGAGAGAGAGAGAGAGAGGAGAGAGAGAGAGAAGAGAGAGAGAGAGAGAGAGAGAGTGTCGTGCGTCTGATGAGAGAGGAGAGAGGGAAAACAAAACAAAAAAGGCCAGTGCTGCACCAGTGTCGAATGGGGACATTGTTCTGGCGCCGAGACCTCGCACCTCAAAAAAATTCCTCACACTCTGCCCCCCTGAAAATATTCCCTCAGATTCACCTGGACGTCGTTTTTTACTTCCTTGCATGTCCTTCTCATCCCAGTCACCCATAAACGGATTTCGGAATAAGGCAATCCGTAAATCTAATGCCTTAAGAATGAAAAAGTACAGCTGTTCGGAGGGCAAAATGCACGCCCATTTTCCCCTTCGTTATGGTCTCCGCTGAACCGTATGCGTTGGTAATCGAAAGTCGATATTGATATGCAACTTCACTAAGTGCTTTTATTACTATTGGTTCTGTCTATTTTTTTTTTTTTTTTTTTTTTTTTTAGTTTATGATTGATATTTGGAAACAGGATTTCATTTAATTTTTCAAAGTTGATAGTTGATAATTAATATCTAAATTCACACATACGTATATACATGCATAGTCTACAGTACATGCGTTGGTATGCACATACATATGTATGAGTGTGTGTGTGTGTGTGTGTGTGTGTGTGTGTGTGTGTGTGTGTGTGTGTGTGTGTGTGTGTGTGTGTGTGTGTGTTGTGTATGTGTGTGTGTGTGTGTGAGTATCTGTGTGTGTGTGTGTGTGTGTGTGTGTGTGTGTGTGTGTGAGTGTGCGGTGTGTGTTTGTGTATGTGTGTATGTGTGATGTGTGTTGTGTTTGTACCTATGTTACATGAGTGTGCGTGTGCGTACGTCCTTGTGCGCGTGTATGTGTATGTGTATGCGTGTGTTTATATCTATGCATATACGCACGAGTGTAAGCGTTCTCTCTTGAACAATCTTCTGGTGACACTTTTTTCCTCTTTATCGGAATCTTTCCCGACGATACCGACACATTCCCTTTGCTCCTTCGAAACACAAGGCTTTCTCACAAGACAAAGTACATCGGAAGACTACAGTACGCTTCTCCATTCACCCAAAGGAGCGGGAGAGGAGATCGAAAGGATGAAGAAGAAGAAGAAAAAAAAGTGACGAAGAGGAGGTCTGGCGAAGAAGGATTAAGAAATTTCGGATGATAAAAGGAGGACCCGGAAAGAAA